TTAGGTTTAATTTTTATAACCATGAACTACATTTCCCAAAACATAGCAGGTATGTTTTTGTAAACCTTACATTTGATTTTTTATAACAATAAACTAACCTAAGCATTTTTTTTTATTATTTTATTTTTATATTTATTGAAACATTTTGGGGAGCCAAATATAGCTAGCTTGGTTTAAGTTTGTTATGGTTGCATAAATGCTGAGAATTTTTATGAGGTCTTACAAGACTCATTTTACCTTGAGTGAATGTGTTCAAAATTGAAGTATATTAAAGTGGATCTGTTTTGTCTTTTGTGAAAGGAAGAAGACAAGCATCAAGTGATTTCCAGTGGATCCTATGACCTCCTCCAGGACAGCTGAAATCAGCACATCATGCATAAACTACGGAATTATTTGAATCCTCTCTGTATTATATGATGCGGAGCAGTGATACATTCTGCTGCAGTTCTCTTCGAGAACACAAGAGGACGCAGTGAACTCCATGTCACAGTGATGGGACAGTAGAACACTAAAGCTAGACTGAGAAATCAATCTGAATCTGAGAGATTATTTGAATGTGTAAATGTTTTGAACTTGGTTACCAGCAATCTCTAAATTCTGGTGTACTACAGGCATTAATAAATGTCCAACATACAATGTTTTAAATAACTGCCCTGCTCAAAGCACAAATTAAATGAAAAAGAGATTATAACATTGTCAAGGTTGTAAGCTCTATTTATCTATTATATGCATAATAAGTATTTTGGGGTTGCAATCTTTAACGCATTTGACACATGCTTAATTATGCAAAGCACCTTAAAGTACATGCACCTGAAAATCATTTTCTGTAAAAAAAAAGGGTAAAAAGAGATGGTGAATCAAACTATTTTTCTTTAATTTTCACTCTTGACAAAAGTTGTGCACTCTACAAAAATCATGAATTAAAACTAGAAATTTGAATGAGACACTGGAAGAAGGTTCAGAGGTAAGAGTACGTGATAATCTGTTGAAACCCTGCTCTTGCCAAACCTCACACTTTCTCAGTAGGAACAGATTATACACTGGCATTAGGCTTTGAGTTGAGAACATCAGAAATTGTATCTTTCTTTCCCCATTGGTTGCAAGCAGATCTGAATCATTTACTGAAACTACTAAATGTATGTTGTTATGCTGACTGAGACTTTGAAAAATGTTATATATATATATATATATATATATATATATATATATATATATTATTTTTTTTGTTTAATGTATGAAATATAGACTTAAGTACTCTCACCTATGGCCGAGCACCTCGGGTTTGTAGTTTCGCACAATTAGCCACAAGAGGGAGCTGATGATCAGCTATTCGTTACAAGCCTTTATTCACATTTAACACAACAAATATACCCTGCGGTCCAATGTGCATACTATCCACCCTATCTGCCCTAAATCAAGTATTGAAAATGACTAATATCACATAGAATTTAGGATGAGCGCAGTTTTTCATCCGCTCCACGAGGCGGCGGAAGTGCTTTCAGAGACTTCGGATCCTCGACAACATGAAACTGATCAGATGTAGAAACCTCGGAAGAACACGGCACGTGAGTCACTGAAACCCCACGTAAACACAAGCACTACACGCGTTCACACAACAAACGTTTATCGAAAATGTGATCTTTTGAAGTTATTAGGGAGTCAGTTAAAGTTGATCGTTTAATAAAATATAATTTCACTCAACCCAGCGAACTGTGTGCCACGAGAGACAGCAGCAGTTCCTCGAGGCTGTTTGTAAATGTATCATCGACCACAAACACGTTAATAGTGTTGAAAGAAATAGAATTATAAATGGAAAGCATCATAGACACCATATTCAGACTTAACGTAAATGATTTAATATCAAAATGTACTTGGCAGGCGGATAAATTTGTAACCACGTGTAAAGTGATTTAAAAAACAATACAGTTAAATATGTTGTAATCAAGTGATGAAAGCTGGACTTGGTGGGTGTGTTTACGTGCCGTCAAACAGTGATTGATTAACGGATCGGACCAATAGGAGTGGAGAACGGCACCACCTCTTCTTCCGGATTGGTTGTTTCTTTTAAAGGGTGGGGCATAATATTTATCCAATAGCAGCGTGGGAGAGGAAAGGCGTGCCAGATTAACAGGTGGCAGAAAGACTTTCTTCTTTGATCTAAAAGTGCTATCTCAACCTGATATTTTTCTTGTCCACTTCGTAATATTTATTTGCTCAAAAGAGAAGTGCATATTTGATCAAATCCATGAATTTAATCATAAACTAGTCTTAAAAATGCATCTTAATTCTGTTGCTTTTCATAATAATAAAAAAATAATAATAAAAAATAAATATATATATATATATATATATATATATATATATATATAAATTTGTTATTTATGATTGTTTTTTTTTTCTGTTACACCACTTGCTGTAAAAAAACATTTTACTTTAAAGATTTTTTTTTTATTTCAGGTGTATTGAAGTTATTGTTTGTATATGGATAGCCTTGTGTGTCTTGAAATATTTGCCGTGTCTTTGAACTACGTATGGCACTCCTCCAATATCACTGGTTTTAAATCTTTGTCTGTACTATATAGAGTTGTAGTTTTTGGTTTGACATCTAATTTTTTTTAACAAACTCATATAGTACATGCTACATAAAAGTAAAGTCTTTGTTTATCTATGTTTTCCCTGCAGAGTAAGGCATGTGTTTGGACAGAAGCAGAGCTCTGGGACGTGTGGACAGACTTTGACTGTAATGATGGACGTCTGCTCAAGGACAGGTAAGACTTAGAGCTTGTGTTTGTGTTTTGCTGTGTACTACACGTGTAGGTTACCATCACTTTCTTTTTGGAGGGTCACCTCTCTAGAAAGCCAAATGATGGGAACCTAAACAGGTGGGGAAGGGACGGCGGTTCAAAATTTTTAGACAGCTAAATTATTATTTTTTTTCTGTCAAGAAGCATAACCGCTGCTGGACATCACTCTGGGACTCAGGGGGGGACCCGAATCATCCTCACCCCTTCATTCACACAACACTCACTCATATCACAGAGATCTGGCTGGGATTGAACCAGCGACCTCTGAACCATGAGGCAGCGCTCTTACCTGTGAGCCACAGATCTCTTGCTTGAGGTTGTGCTGGAACGTATATTTCACTATTCACCTGTATGTGATTTTACAATAAACCAGTTAAAGCTCTGACAGAGTCTCTCTATGTGTGTGATAGCGTGAGGTGGGATTTGAACCCATGCCTCTATCACGGCTGTATTCACAGAGAACATGTGTTTAGCCACTACCCCATCATGGCTTTCACATTGAAGGCTTGTGTTTGTGGCACTTTGTTGGATATAATAACATAACATAAATCAGTATAATGTAAGCAATAGTGGGATTTGAACTCATAACGCCATAATTCAAACACATCAGGTTATTCACTGAGCCATTGAGTCTGGCGATTATTTTTAGAGTATGGAAATATTTTTTAATGTGACAATTATGTGCTTAGCCACAAAGCAGCTTTAATTGCTTTAAACCCTCATTTTACGTTATCACTTTTTCATTTGCAAAGCTTTAGGATGAGTGTGGCCGGTTAAATTGTGTGTAGTGTACCTCGCAAATTTTCTTGGCAATTTATGTTGATATAGCTTTTTTTTTTTTATGTAACAAATTACATTTTCAGTTGATAAAGTATGCATTATATTTCTAGAATTTTATGGCTGTTGTAAATGTTTGGCGCCAGCAGATGACAATGTTGTCCATACTCATTTCCCTTTCCCTACATTTTATTTCATGCACATTTAAAATGTTAGTGTAGTGTTGATGCATCTATTTCCCCAAACTTTATAGGTTTAAGAACATGAATCACCTGATAATTTTTAGCACGATATCTGTTCATATAACTGCAGTATTGCAAGTGATTCTTTTTATAATAGGACAGTCAACAATTATGGGTGCTTTTGAAACACTGCTTCATTTAGCTTCGAATCTTTTGTTTGAATCAAAGATTCAGATTTTTTAATCTAATTAATTACATGATGTGGCGATTAATTAATCGCACATCAAATTTGGCTGAGAAATTACTCCCAAAAGATAATTTAAAGTCATTGTTGTGTAAAGCATCAAACAGACATTACAAAAAGTAGCTTCAGCAAGAAATATTTTGTTTGATCAAACTGATTACATATACTCTTTTGGACCATGAGGGTGAGTAAATGATGACACAATTGCCATTTTTGGGTGGGTGAACTATACCTTTAATAATTGATTTTACTTTGTAAAAGGTGTCATTAAACATGTTTGAAATGTGTTGCATTTACAGCATTTTGACTAGCAGGTGTCTCCACATGTGTTGTGTAGAGCACTTTAAAACAGCCAAACATTTAAATTCAGAGTTTGGAAGAGCTCTGCTCCTCTCATCACTACTTCCATGTAAAAGATGAGACTGACACATTATGACTTACAAGTATCAGTATTTCTGCTAAATCATTTGCAGTCAGACCTGACGAGAAATCGGCAAACAAGGTGATCCACCAAAAATATATCTTTTTTTTTTATGTTAGTTAAAGTGACTCAGTTTGCCCCTGGTCATGGTAACAGCTTGAATTATTTAGGACTAAGAATTATTCCCACTCACTACTCTTTTTGTCTTCTCCAACAGACAGAAAAAGACATTCTCCTGCGTCCTGAGTTAGAAGAGGTCATGGCCAGTCACCCGACATGTTTTAAGCTGTGGTACACCATCGACAGGGATCCAGACGGTAAAAATGTGTTGATTTACAGATGCTGTTTAGCCAAATCACCAACCTCAGTTTAGGTGACTTACTCCAGTTCAACCAGACATTAATAATCAAACAAAAGATAACAAGCAGAAGTCATTAACTTGAGGTGTGTGCTAGGAAGAGAGTACAGCCAAGGCTTCATCACTGAGAACACGAAGAACCTCCTTCCTCCATCTGCAGATGACACACTTCCCATGATGCAGTTCACCTACAAACCTGTATTTCTTGATCCTTGTCCAGCACCTTATTTAATCCATCTGATACAAATCAGCAGATTTTCAGAGAGCCAAATGAACTGAACTGTCTGTCAGATAAGAGACATAAATGAGAGTTGAGCAAATTATTGTTATTTACCAAATGTTGCACTGATGAGATTCAGTTCTAAGCGTGGGTTTAAATAAAAACAATATGTATATGCCCTATCTTTTGAAGGGCAAATAATTTATCATTGGACTTTTAATTATTTCAGCTCATTTTTATGACCTGCTTGCAGTTCACATAGCAACAATATTTCTGCATGACTTGCATTGACCTACAAAAGTATATTCTTTGTAGAGGTTCATATTTCAGGTTGTTTAGTGTTAAAATGCCCCCCAAAAAACGATCTGAATCAAATCGATCTGAATGTCTGCACATACCTGTAATGATATTTCGCGTGTTTTTTCACTCACTGAATGAAGGTCACTGTCGCCACATACTGGTGTAACCTCAGTAACCTCCCCAATGTCAAATCCCCAGCACCAACAATAAACTGACCGTCCATCTGAAACACGCGGAGTGATACAAACAGTGAAAAGTCCCAGTGCTGCTGTCTCGCTTTGACCGGGCTTTGAGGTTGTGCTGTTTTCGTCTATTGATGCAGATACACACATTGTCCACAAGGTGGCGCCGACACACGTCTGATCTCATTCATAAGCATGTTATGTTAATCTGTTAAAAAGCCAACATTAAACACCACTTTAGTCGTAATATCAATCATTATTTTATATATTATAGATGCCACATTTTATACTTTAACAATTTATTTATAATCGGTAATTTCTTCCAAATTACTAATCAAGCTGCAGCTTAAATCTATAAACACTGGCATAACAGCAATCACTGTTTAACTGTGAACAAACATGATGCATATCAATATCATTTTAAATAACTATTAAATGATATTGATCTATTATATGCACATAAATAGACAAATGATCTACTTAAAACACAGACAACCCCACAACAACAAAAAGAAGACTGTCCCATTTAAGTAGCCTATGTTTACATTTTGAACACATGCTTTTGAGTTCAACACATTTGATCTTTCTTACCGAACCAGTTGAGCGATGATCCGGATCATTTGCCAAAAACTGCTCAATTTACGTTGTTTTACTGGTCGAGACACTGACAAAATCATAGATATGTTTTCAAACATATTAAATTCAAATCTCAGTCCTCTCGCCTCTCGGTCCACCTGCAGTTTGTGTGATTAACACTAACGTTACTTGGCCACAAGAGGGAGCTGACGATCACTTATTTTTCACTTGACTTCAACACATTTAACTTAGTAAATACTGCCTTATTTTGTCTGAGTATGTAAATGTTAAAGTAGACTAGAAGTTAGTGATCAAACCAAAAGTCTCTTGGCACTGTAACAAGTAAGGTAGAAACTGAAGTGCAGTTTTCATCCTCTCCGCTAGGCGGCGGAAGCGACTCATCAGGTTCAGTTTGACACCTTCAGATGTTTGTCAACAGTCGGTCACTGATTTAAAGTACGGATTCAGTGACAGACTCTTAATGTCACTCGACAGCACGCTTTCCAGCACACAAACAAACAATACCGACACACGCTGCAGGAATCGGAGATGTCACGCAACTCCCCTGTAAGTAGTGTTCTCATACAGCGCATTTCTCTGGTGAAATAACTAGTAAACATTACCCTGCGGTTCTTAACACCTGTTCTGGATTTGTTGTGTCTGCACGCGGACTAGCTTGAATTCTGATGGGATATAAACTGAAACTAAAGTGTAGTTTTTGACAGCTAAACATGTGTGAAGGCAAAGAATAACGTTAGTTGTCAATTCACATTTATTCATTTTTTTTTTTTTAAGTTCTGATTTTAAGTGATCTTACTATCTATCTTACTATCTAACTAACTATCTATATATATCTGTCTATCTAACTATCTATCTATCTATCTTACTATCTAACTAACTATCTAACTATCTATCTAACTATCTATCTATATATATCTGTCTATCTAACTATCTATCTATCTATCTTACTATCTAACTAACTATCTAACTATCTATCTATCTAACTATCTATCTATCTATCTATCTATCTATCTATCTATCTATATATATCTGTCTATCTAACTATCTATCTATCTATCTTACTATCTAACTAACTATCTAACTATCTATCTATCTATCTTACTATCTAACTAACTATCTATCTATCTAACTATCTAACTATCTATCTATCTATCTATCTTACTATCTATCTAACTATCTGTCTATCTATCTATCTATCTATCTATCTATCTATCTATCTATAGTAAGATAGATAGATAGATAGTTAGATAGATAGATAGATATATCTATCTATCTAACTATCTATCTATCTATCTTACTATCTAACTAACTATCTAACGATCTATCTATCTATCTATCTATCTATCTATCTATCTAACTATCTATCTATCTATCTATCTCACTATCTAACTAACTATCTATCTATCTATCTATCTATCTATCTATCTATCTATCTATCTATCTATCTATCTATCTAACTATCTATCTATCTATCTATCTCACTATCTAACTAACTATCTAACTATCTATCTATCTATCTTACTATCTAACTAACTATCTATCTATCTATCTATCTACACACACGTACGCACACACACTACCGGTCAAAAGTTTGGGATCAGAATTTTTTTAAATGTTTTTTACAGGAGTTTCTTATGCTCATCAAGGCTGCATTTATATTATTAAAAAAAAAACAAGAAAAAATTTAATTTTGTGAAGTATTATTATGATGTAATATAACATATTTCTATTTTAATATACATTAAAATCTAATTTATTCCTGTGATGCAAAGCTGAACTTTCAGCATCATTACTCCAGTCTTCAGTGTCACATGATCCTTCAGAAATCATTCTAATATGATGATTTATTATCAGAGCTGGAAACTGTTGTGGTGGTTAATATTTGATTGGAACATGTGATACTTTTTTCAGGATTCTTTGATGAATAAAAAGTTAAAAAGAAGAGCATTTATTTAAAATAGAAATCTTTTCTAACCATATACACTACTGTTCAAAAGTTTGGGGTCAGTACACTTTTCTTTCTTTTTTTTTGAAAGAAATTAAATCTTTTATTCAGCAAGGATGTTAAATTAAGTGATAGCAAAGATTTATACTATTAGAAAATATTTATATTTTGAATAAATGCTGTTCTTTTTAACTTTTTATTCGTCAAAGGATCCTGAAAAAAGTATCGCAGTTTCCAAAAAAATATTTAGCAGCACAACTGTTGCCAACATTAATAATTCTAATAATAAATCAGCATATTAGAATGATTTCTGAAGATCATGTGACACTTTATACTGGAGTAATGATGATGGAAATTCAGCTTTGCATCACAGAAATAAATTATAGTTTAAAGGATATTAAAATGGAAACCATTATTTTATATTGTAATAACATCTTGCAAGATCAGTTTTTTTCTGTATTTTTGATCAAATAAATGCAGCCTTGATGAGCATAAGAGTCTTCTTTAAAAAACATTACAAGACTTACTGATGCCAAACTTTTGAACGGTAGTGTTAAATACGTTTTAAGTCCTAATTTTAACATTTGCAATCTTAATTTTTTATACCAACATTTAAATTCTGATTTTATTAATTAAATCATTCATTCATTCATTGAAAATGTTTGCTGGAGTGTTTTCCTTCAATTGTACTGTTGAATTTCACTGTTGATTGATTTATTCTTATTGTTGATAATAGTCTGTTGTTAACACTTAAATTGTGCTTTTGTATTTCTTTATGAACTATAATTTTGAGTGCTTATGAAAGGTAATGCTTATAATTATGGATTTTATTTAGACATTCAATTCTTAAATTCTGATTTTAGTGATTCCTTTTTTTTTACACCAGCTTTAAAATGTAAATTTTAATCATTAAATTCGTTTTTATTTTAAATGCATTTTAGACAGTAAATTTTAAACAAACAAAAATTTATAATTTTTTTTTTTTTCAAAATGTGCCCTCTAGGTTTTCCTTAAATAATACAACCAAACAGTCACTTGTGTGGGTGGCAGTGGTTTGGTGGTCAGAGCTGGTGGCATGAGCTCTGAGGCCATTGTAGAAGACCTGGGTTCAAATCCCCGCTCTGCTACAGGTCTAAACTGCAGTAAGGTGTTTTTAAAAAAAAAAACACCAAAAAAAAAGAATTTTTTTTCCCCCTCCCCCCTTGCTCCACCTTGCTCCACCTTGCTCCTACACCTCACACTCTACCTTCCTCTCTTGTACTGCCCCTGGTACTTTAGTCAGTTTGTTTCAAGTCCGTGTTTCTTGTGGCTCTGCAGTTTGTTTCAAGTCCGTGTTTCATGTGGCCTGTCTGTTTCTTTGCCTCAGTCTCATTCTGAGTTTTCAGTCTCTGCCTTTGCCACCCCAGATGTACCACCCCAGGTACTTTGCTGTTGCCACTGCTTTCTTTCTGTCTTTGGTGTGAGCCCCACACACCGAGGTGGGATTTGAACCCATGCCTCTAACGTAATCTTGTCCGCAACCAACGTGTGTTTAGCCACTAGTGCCATCGTAGCTTTCACATTGAGAGCTGTTGTTTGGAGCACTTTGTTGGATTTAATGACAGCAAGTTAACATAAGTAATAATGGGATTTGAACTCATGTCTCCAAGATGAAAACCCAATGCTTTATCTACTGAGCCACCAAGTCTCCAGAGTTGTTTGGTGTTTTGGATGTGATTATAATAATAATTTTGTTTGAAATAGTGCAGAACAACAGTAAGGGTGGGGTTTGAAGCCAGGCTCTTGTGAATGCGAGGTTAACACTTAGCCACTGAGCCACACAGTTTGTGACGATAAAGCATTGGTCTTTTTTGAAGTTTTGTTTAACAACGGCATCATTAAGCAATAGTGGGATTTGAACTCAGGTCTCTAAGATGAAAATTTAACGCTTTATCTACTGAGCCGCTGAGTCTCTGGAGTTGTTTGATGTTTTGGATGTTAAGATGTTGGTCTTTTTATGTTTAGTTGAACAACAGCATCATTAATAATTGAACATAAGTAATAGTGGGATTTGATCTCAGACCTCCATGATTAAAACACAACGCTTAATCATCTGAACTACTCAATCAGCAGAGATGTGTCGGTTTTTGGAGAGCCGTTTTATATGATGAAAAGCAATTACATCAATACAATTGTGGGATATAAACCACACAATTTTAGAAACATATCGCTATGCACTGATGCACAAGTTTTAAATGTTAATAAAATAAATAAATAAATGTACAAATAAATTTAGCTACATTGCAGAAACAATTAAACACATTAAAGTGGGATTTGAACTCGGGTCTCTAAGATTGAAATGCAAAGATTTATCTTTTTGTGCGACTGAGTCTGTGGAGTCCAAGCTTATTTTGGATGGGGTGTTATTGAGAGTTTTGTTTTATATGATGAAAAAAAAAACTGAAATTGTGGGATTTGAACTCGGGACACAAAGGTTAAAATGCAAAGATTTATCTTCGGCACCACCGAGTCTGTGGACTTCTGGAATATTTTGGATGGGATTTTATTGATAGCTTTGTGTTATATGACGAAAACTTTAACGACTTTGAAAGCAGGTCTCTAAGACTGAAATGCAAATATTTATCTTTTGTGCCGCTGAGTCTGTGGAGTTTTATTTTGGATGGGCTGTTATTGAGAGTTTTGTTTTATATGATGAAAAATTTCAGCAAAGGTGGGATATGAGCTCAGGGCTCCAGGATTAATACACAAAGATTTTACTCCCTGCACTACTGCGTCTGTGGTCACTCTTGACAGGGTTTTTATCAAGAGCTTTGTTCAATATGATGAAAAGCAATTATTACATCAGTACAATTGTAGGATATGAATCACACAACATGAGAAATATATCACTATGTGCTGAGGCACAGAGTTTTTGTAAAGTTTTGCATTCTTCATTAAATATTTGAGCCAATAAATTTAGCTACAGCTTTGATTACTTACATGTTATAGTGGGATTTGAACTCAGATATCTGCATTCAAAACCCAGCGCTTTATCGTCTGAGCCATGGAGTTTGTAAAGGCGTCAGGTGTTTTGGGCAGGATTTTATTTATGTACAAGAAGGTAGTCGCACGATCCAGCATTTTGTTTCATCACCACTCATCTCAGTTTGATGAACTCATTCTGAGTTTGAGCCTTATATCAGGAAAGACATATCCAGTGGGCTGTGTTTGTTATTTCATTTTACAAGGGAAGATGATATGTATTGTATTATATTGTATTGCTTTAAATAAGCTGCTGTGGGCAATTTATTCAAGCAATTTTCTAACAAACCATAAAGTCTGTCAGATGTCAGTAAGAACTTTATTCAAAATCAGACTGATAAACAAACTCGTAACATGCAAAAACATAATCTGCTTATTTAAATATATTTGATCTATTTTCATTAGAAACTGTCTGCACAGAGACAACAAAAATCATTATAATAATAATATGTTTTATTTTTATAGAAATTGAGAAGCAGAGAGGTAAATGAGTTATTTAGAGAACAAAGTGAATAGATGAGTTTTAAGTTGAGACTTAAAGGTCTGGAGAGAGGAGGCAGCACAAATATTATGGAGCAGCTTATTCCATAGTTTAGGGCCTATAATACAGAAATCCCTACCACGCACCGTAGAGAGTTTATACTTGGGCACAACAAGCAAGATCTGAGAGTCCGTGCAGGAATGTAACTCAGCTAGGTATTGAGGTGCGAGGCTGTGACTGGCCTTATAGACTAAAACTGAGTTTGAACTGAATACGTTTGGCCACAGGAAGCCAGTGAAGTTGGTGAAGGATGGGAGTGATATGTGCAGATTTTTTGTTAAATGTAAGGGCTCGAACAGCAGAGTTTTGTACCATTTGGAGGCGATTCATAACTTTGGCAGGTAAGCCGCTATATAAGGAGTTACAGTAATCCAATCTGGAGGTTATAAAAGCATGGATAATAGTTTCAGCATCTCATTGTTTAACTGTGAACAAACATGGTACACATTCAACTAAATAAAAACAAATAGTCTTTTACCTAAATTAAAGAATCTTGAAGGTCCTTGTTCTGTATTTTATGTTTACACTTTGACAATGTGCTTTTGAGTTCAACACATTTAATCAGATTTACTTCAATTGAGAGTTGATCACATGCATTTAGCTAAACTAGTGACAAAATATTTGATTTGTTTTAAAATACATGAAATTTAAATTTAGGACTGACAACTTTGTCATTTTAATTCATGAATGCTGATACATTTGTTGACCACAGGAGGGAGCAGATGACTTTGAGCCTGCTGGAACTGTAGAAACTGGAGTGCAGTTGTCCATCCGCGTGACGCTTGTGACATGTGTAGAGTGTTTAGCCTGAAACTTTAGTTTTTCACAGTTTTCTGCCTTTCACATGGAAACTATGGAAAGACTATGAGATTTTCTTGTTGTGGTTGTGTCATTATTTCTTCTAATATGTTGTGAAACTGGTTTCACTATTTTTTTGTAATGCATTTTTATTTTTTAAGCGTCAGTTTCATGAACATGAATCACTTTGCATGATGGGGAGCAGCTGCATTAGCCATTGTTTATAGATTCATAGATGATAATCTCCCATTCAAACAAACCCAAGACAAACAAATATACATCGTCTAATACAGAGATTGGATTTGGGGGAAAAAATTTTAATTGAATTTCTTTGACTTACACATGCATAAAACAGTACATAGTACATGGTATTCACTGATATGGTTATAGTATAACAATATCAAGATTTTGCAGGCAAAATTTAAAATTTTCCCTCCCAATAAAATTATGTAAACGTCCAACTAGAAAAGGATGAAAACATGCAGTAAACGGTCACATAGGAATATAGCTTAGAGAAAGACAATAAAAATCATTAAGAACTAACTGCCATCTTTGGTTTTTAGCTTGGTGCAAACACTTATAAATACCGTTTCAGTTACTGTATATACTGCAGATCCTAAACGAATAAATAGCATTTCATTGAATTAATATACCATTGCATTTACGGTGTAATTCTTTTGAGTTTCACTGTGAGTGGAGCTTATTGCTTTCATACTAAAATCACAGTAACTTTCAAATTTCACAGCTACAGACTTCTTGTCAAGGTCAAACAATCTTAGTCGTCATCTATGGTGCTGGTTTCAGGTGAATGGGATGATGCTTCCATGAAGAACTCATCCTCTTTTAGCATGCTCTGGAGAACACATGAGGAACTGAGGTAAGAACAAGAGAGACCACAGCAGATACAGTACAGCTGGAATATTGTGTGGTTGTCTTACAGTCAGGTTGTTGATTCCTTCCGAGAATGCGCCAATCTGTCGCACTGTGCCTTCAGAGTCCTCCATCTGCACAACATCATTTAAACAATCTAACAATAATATCCAACTATGACCAGAAAACTTATTAAAACTAGCAATTAAAATATGATTCACAATTTTAGCTGCATGGCATCCTAGTCAGTGAAATTGTCCATACCTGCTCCAGTTGATCCAAGCCGTCCTCATATGCGCAAAGGCCTTTATTGAAACTGCTGCTCTGAGGCATCTGCACATCCATGGGGCAAACATACTCTTCCAGCTCCTCCTGTCGCTTCCGCCTCAATGTCCCGAAACTTCCAAACGACAGACGTCTTGGCTAAAAGGACGAGAGGATGGTAAAGGACAGGTAAAACTTATCAGCATGCTGTTGTTAAGTTAATAAACAGCTGTTTACAGTTGTATTCCACATATAAGTGACATTCAAAGACCCACAGGCACCCTTACACACAGTTACTTGCCTTAACTTTGGCTGTAGCTGTCAGGACGGTGTAATCTGGGTTTTCGAGATACTCCTGCTTCAGCCTTTGTGCCTCTGAGCCAATCAGAAGATGGAAGTTGGTTGCAAGGTGACGTCTCAACAGAGTTTTATTTGGTGGGATGTTAAGAAGCAGAGCCATTGTCTCAACATTGAAGCGAGGCTCTAAAACCTGAGAAACGAATAAAAAAATAAATAAAAAAAAAGTAAAAACAGCTTGAATAGAAACTTTGATGTCTTCTGCTCCATTGCACATACCATTAGGCCTCCGTGGACTCCACTTCCTCTCAGGTTGGGTGCATACTCTGCTAGATCCACTGAACGAAGCCACTCCATCACTCTGTGATTGGTCCATTGACAGATTTCTGCTGGCGTGGGATTATTCTAATCAAAGGGGAAAAAATACAGCAAAAATCAAAGTTGTATTCAAAGTGAATGGAGCTAAGTGTGGTAGTATAACAGCAGGGTGTGCTACCTCAGTTGGTCGGCGACGGAGGCAGCTGGGGTCATAGCAGTTGATGCGTAGCACCTGAATGGCCCTCTTAATACTGAGATGGTGAAGCACACTGCCCACTTTCAGTCCCAACAGGTCATCCTAACCAATGATATCCAGAACAAGTCAACCTTAGTATTGTGTTTTCCACAAAAAAATTAAGCAGCAAAAACTGTTACCAATATAATTTATTATTTTCTTGAACACCATATCAGCATATTAGAATGATTTCTGAAGACTAGAATAATGGCTGCTAAAAAATTTACTTTGCTATCACAGGAATAAGTTTAATTTTAATATATATATATATATTAAAAGAAAAGGTATTGTAATTATATTATTTAAGAGTTATTTGACACCTACCACAGTCATATAGTGAAGCATGCGCCCATCCACTCTGCCCTCATCAAACTGAGATTTATACTGAGGAAGGCCGATGTCATCCAGCCATCCTTTGAGATAATTAGAATAATAATATTGGTACTCACACTTTGTAATAAAATGGTAATGGTGCAAATAACATTTGTAATCAACCGTATTCAGACATTGATAGTTCAAAGCGATAGTTCACCCAAAAATGAAAATTGTCATTAATTACTCACACTCATGTCGTTCCAAACCCGTAAGACCTTCGTTCAATCCTCTGAACACAAATTAAGATATTTTTAATGAAATCCGAGAGTTTTCTGACCCTGCATAGACAGCAAAGCAACTGACACGTTCAAGGCCCAGAAAGTTAGTAAGGACATTGTTAAAATAGTGGTTCAACCGTAATATTATGAAGCTACGAGAATACTTTTTGTGCATAAAGAAAACAAAAATAACAACTTCGATCAATAATTTATTTTCTTCCGTGTCAGTATTCGCCACACGTTCAGGAAAGTACCATGACTCTCAGTTGTCACATGATTTATTTTAACAACGTCCTTACTACCTTTTTTGGGACTTGAACGTTGCTGTCTATGCAGGGTCAGTCTAATCTAATCTAAATTTGTGTTCCGAAGATGAACGAAGGACTTGCGGGTTATGGAACAACACGAGGGTGAGTAATTAATGACAGAATTTTCATTTTTGGGTGAACGATCCCTTTAAACTTTTTAGTTAAAAAAACCCCCCTGATTGTTACTTACGAGTAACCCAGTTGTAGTCCAGTTTACCCATGGCATCGTCCTCCTCAGAGCCCAGCGACTGAAGTGCCAGCTGCAGTTTCTTTCTGTGTAGAGGATGCCTGATGCCCATGTCCTGAAGCACAGACAGAAATGTCATACATCACACACAATAACCTAACCTTACAACTTCAGAAATAAAAGTATGTGCATGCATATTTGAAAATGTGACCTTTTCCAAATCATGCTGAGACGCCTTCAATAATATCTGTCCAGAGCTGATCCACTGCTGAGCTTGATTTACATACAAGTCCAGTCCCTGGTTCTGCAGCCACTCACACACCTGCTCTTTACTCCAGCGTGAAAATGGGCTGTCCAGCTCGCTGACAGTGACATTTACAACATTACATGTTGAAGTGCATGGAAAAAAATTAAACGAAAAAACTCTTTAACAAACAAACTGTATGTACTTGTTATTGCTTCGCTGCGGATCACGTGACCAGCCCAGTCTGGGTCCCGCTGTGGCTCGAACTCCCCCTCTCCTAAACGCTGACTCTGGAGAATCGTCCAGGTCGTCGGAGGTGGACTGACTTCTCTTCATTCTGATGCAGGGATTATAAAAGTCAATATCTTCATTTTAATAGACACTGTTGTTTATTGTGAATATATTAAACACATTAAAAGACCTTCCAAATAACTTCATGATCCCCTTTGATTTCTTCTTTCCTTCAGGCGAGTGCGTCTCTAATGCTTTTGGCTTCTGAGTTTGTACTCCGGCCAAATCCAAGTGCTCAGTACCCTCACGCTCTCCTTCAACTGCCAAGCCAATATATAATCAATAATTCATTAATAGAAATAGGCATTAAATGTTTAATACAAAATGTTTTCCAGAAAGTGTTTGGCCTCACTCACTCAGATTGGGAGCGGTGCTTGTCATCTTGTTGCCTCTGATCTTGAAAAAGCCACGTCCGAAAGAGGAACGTGTTTTTTTAGCGCCAAAACTCTCATTCCCCCCTGAGCTGGGCTGAGTCGGGGAGATGGATGGAGAACCTCCATTTTTACTGGTTTCATCCTAAAATTTTACAAGCAAGTTGCAGTTCGTGGTTAAGATATTTCAGTTTTTATTTTTGCCAAATGATTGGGTCTAAACAGTTCTAATTAAAAACAAATTAGATGCTTAGTTATTGGCATTTTTTATAAAAAGTGTCCAGTGCAGCTATGAAGTCATTTTATTATAAATAGAGCTTTTTGTCAGGCTCATGTTGATCTAATTTTACAATGAACTAGTAAAGTGTGCTGGCTTGGGTGATGTGAAATGCTGTAGGGGGAGCCATTGTGCTTACATGAGAACAGTGACATGTGCAACAGTGCAAGCAGAGTTTTTAACCAACATGGGGTGACAGAAACCTTAACCTACATATGCAAATCTCTAAGCTTTTTACAGGATCTTATTAACATATCGAATTCATAATTTATCATATAGATTAAGTTGGTACCTCATTATTGCTTGTCAAACGAGACCTTTCAGGCTGCTGTACTTCAGAGACACTGAAAAAGCATAAGGAAGAAATCAAAATGAATTAATAATGTAATGAAATTTAATAAATGTAATAATAAATTGTCATAAAAATGAGCAATAAAAGCTCAAATCCCTGATATGGAAGATGATTAATTTTATCAGTTTTTTTATTTGTTAATTTAAAAATTATTGTTTACCTTAATTTCGTAAAACAATAATGTTGATTTTTTAAGCCCATTGTGTACTCTATCCATGGAAAGTGCCTTAAAATCAATATAGCTTTGAATATAGTCAGTTTTATCTATTTTTTCAAATCTCAACTTTGTTCCCCAACCATGAAAAATGCTTGAACGTCAATATATCTTTTGTATGAACAGTTTAAATAGTAGTGTAGAGTAGGTAAACAGACCTGTCAGTGGTCTCAGCTGCAGGTTTGTGTGTGGTCACTTCAGGGAGCAGCTCTGAACATGGAATGAGCTGAGGCTGTGTGAGAAACAACAACAACACTGATGGATGCGAGTATGCAAGAGAATAGCAGTGAGAAAAAGTATCTTCCCTGAGGTGTCAGATTTCAATGGACAAGAGGAGCAGGCAGTGACCGGTCTGAAATGACCTGAAATCACAGGATGCTGCTCCCAAACAAAAACAACGGAGACGTTCCCAGTAAAAAAAAAAGGTTATGGTTAAATTGTTATTCTCTGTCAGACCATCACAATGAAAGTACTGCAAGGAGGGGGTCTAAAAGGAAGCCTGAGGAACATCCTGTGTACATAAACTGTGTGTGTGTGTGTGTGAGTAAGACCCTTCATACTTCATCAGTTTCCTCTGTGGAGACCATCTCTGTGTCACACAGCCCTTCTCTTGTGTCCTCGTCCCTGGGTTTGTCTGGGAAAACAGCACAAGTCATAAGACAGGATAAATCAGCCAAGCTATTAGACTGGCTGAGGCTGTGTGAGAAACAACAACAACACTGATGGATGCGAGTATGCAAGAGAATAGCAGTGAGAAAAAGTATCTTCCCTGAGGTGTCAGATTTCAATGGACAAGAGGAGCAGGCAGTGACCGGTCTGAAATGACCTGAAATCACAGGATGCTGCTCCCAAACAAAAACAACGGAGACGTTCCCAGTAAAAAAAAAAGGTTATGGTTAAATTGTTATTCTCTGTCAGACCATCACAATGAAAGTACTGCAAGGAGGGGGTCTAAAAGGAAGCCTGAGGAACATCCTGTGTACATAAACTGTGTGTGTGTGTGCGAGTAAGACCCTTCATACTTCATCAGTTTCCTCTGTGGAGACCATCTCTGTGTCACACAGCCATTCTCTTGTGTCCTCGTCCCTGGGTTTGTCTGGGAAAACAGCACAAGTCATAAGACAGGATAAATCAGCCAAGCTATTAGACTGGGATGCAGACAAACGCTTTCTGGGAAATATTCTTGGGATCAAAATATTGTTTTGCCTAAATGTCATAAAGTCATCAGGAAAACCAGACACAAGCGTTACCGATTAAGCAATGAATGTCATTTAAAATATTACTGGAATCAAGTTACTTGTAAATGTAGAGAACTGCTAAAGATACGCGGTTTTACATTAAAGCAGAACTTATAGAAATAGAAAGGCTCACAAACTTATTTTCAGAGATTTTCAAAGTCAACAGGTTTAAATTTTGTGTCAAGGAGATATTGTTTTTAATTGTTTAGAGTGTGCCATTGCAATATGAGCATTCGTTTTTCTCAAAAGGAAATAATAAACAGAAGACGACATAAAAATGTGCCAAGGACATCTCACCTTTTGATGCCTGCACGGACATCACCATATCCTGCACTCCCTTGAAACGGATCAGAGACTGCTGCAGCTCTTTTATCTTCAAATCCTAAAAAGATTCAGATTAAAACTGTAAAATTGATGATCATATGAAATACAAATTAATAATTAAATTACATTTTATACTTTTTGATAAAAATATTATTATTATTTAACAAATTAAATATATACACAGTAATACTGTAAAATATTAAGTTTACAGCCAAATAATAGCTTTTATTTGAAATAACATTTTTGGAAGCTTTTGGTCAATTTTATGCACACTTGCTGAATAAAAGTATCATGTAAAAAATCCTTTTGACTGGTACTGTCTATATAATATCTACTTCTACATGTATACATCTAGGCAAAGACCAGAGCATGTGAGCGGAGCGGAGTGGGAGCGGAGTGGTAATATTTCCTTAAGAGCGCAGAACGCCTTTCTGAAGATTCCGCTCCGCTCGCTCAACCCAGAATGCCGTTTGGCGATTTGCTTGTTCCAGATCGAGACTCTGTAGAGATCGAGAATAGTAGAGCAGTTATGGAGTTCAGATATTGTTTCAACGAAGTTGCAAGCCTTATACATAAATGTAAAGTAAAAAATCTAAGTTAAGAATGAGCAGGGAGAAGAAACTGAGAGGGAGTGCGGGGAGAGTTAGTAAAGATTCATATTGGAATCTGAAGCGGCACATTGCCAGAAAGCACGAGGATGTGCTACGCAAACATGGTGCCGCAAAAGGTGAGCTAGTTGCATACCATAATAAATGAATAAACAGGTAGGCTAAGGTTATATTCGGTTGTACGGAGCCCCGATCATGACATGCAGACAATCAC